AAATTCAGTTTCTCGACCAAAACGTTGCTAGATTGATGTACCAATTCATATAGGAAAAGGAAGCATTCAGCTCCTGTTATCTAGAGTGGAATAGGAGACTTTAGTAATAAAATTCTGAAATGATTGCTTTTTTTTTTTTTTTGTGAGTTGAGGATCTATTGTTTCCACATTCCACAAGAGGTGTTCATGGTAACCTGAAGAACTAATATGTTGATCTAACTCATATAACACATTGGTTCTTTTCTAGTTATTCATTATGAATGGTAGGAGCATGATCATGTGAATCTGTGGTCTACAACCATGAGTTTGAAGAGTTTGTGATAGTTTTAATCCATCTTGGGAAACACGAACGTTAATCCTTCTCTTTTGGTCCTTTATGAACAATCTCTCTGGTTGACTATCTGCCTGTATAAAAAAATGTGAACAGGGCTAGGGAATGCATAAAATGTCCCTGTAGTTAGCAGTGAACTGTCAATAGGGTTGGTTTCATCTGATCAGCTCTTGTTGGTTTCATTAGTTTATATAGGTCAGGTCCGCTTCATTGTTTTAAACCTGATATGCATCTGTTTGTTTTCGTATATTTTAAACTGAAAAAACCCAAACCAGACCATATATATAAAGTTTTCTAAACAAGATGGACTGAGCAGGAATGACTGACCATCGTGCTTTGATTGGGGTTTCATAATTGTTTGTCCAATTTTTTTCTTAGTTTCTGAACAAAATTGGTGTTTGTTTTTAGCCCTAATCAATCTAATCCAATCATTCAGTCAATTCAATTCTTTTGGTTCTAGGAGGTTAGGACCAATATTAGGTAGTTGTGCATGAAGAAAAATTCAACGTGACAGGTTGAATTAGATGAGAAATACCCCAACCTAATGCGATGTAACATGTAGATACCCCTATCTATCAATTGGTGCACTGGATATCCCAGATTCTCAATGAGCCAGCCAATATAGTAAACTCACCATGTGAATTAGTTAACTGGGTAGCCACTTAGTACTACGGTGTAAGTGGTATTCCTCTTCAATTGTAAGTGAGAGGTCTTAGGTTCGATTCTCACCAAAAGCAAATTTGAACCACATTAGAGCATCTCCAAAGGAAATGTCAAAAAATTAGTTAACTGGGTATCCCTATAGGTTTCTTGTCTTTTTTCTTTGTTAATTCTCCCCATGATTTTTGGCGCTAGACAACTCCCTAAACATTTTGCAACAAGAAAGCAAACCAAAGGGTGACTTCTCTCTACTTATTATGAAGTCCAATAAAGTCCGTCTGGTAGAAAAACCCAGCATGTATCTCTGAAGGACGTACTCATAGTGTTTGACAATGTTCATAGTTGATTGTGATCCCACCACATTACTCTCTCTTAACCAGGCTCAGGAGCAGTTGAATTTAAATGAGATAACCAGGGTTTTCAGACAAGGAGATAATATTCTGAGAATAGCAACCCAAAAATAGTAGATAGATAAATTGTTAGAAGTTTGATGAATTTATAACGTATTGGAAGTGATATATTTGTGTTACTGCCTGGTTGAACTTTTTATTTTTGCCTTGAATTCTAGTTTTTGTATTTGCCTCATTGCTGTGGAATCAAAGTCATCAATAAATGGATCACGGATCTGCGTAAACTCACTGGAAGTTATTTGATATCTCAACAGCTAAATGCCCTCTTCTGGAAGCAAGTTTCATAGTATCATTTTTTTTCTGTTTACCTCAGGTCAAAAGGAGTACAAGAACTTACATGCCTGATTCTCGGAATGGCAAAGAAAGAGATTCAGCCGAGATAGATGGATTTAAATTGTCAGAGGATGGTTTGATACTAACTGAGATATCTGCTCACCCAAGACATATGAAACAAATGAAACCTCATCAAGTGGAGGGTTTCAATTTTCTTGTTAGCAACTTGGTTGGTGATAATCCTGGTGGTTGCATCTTGGCCCATGCTCCAGGTTCTGGTAAAACATTTATGATAATAAGTTTCATGCAAAGTTTTCTAGCTAAGTATCCAAATGCAAGACCCCTGATTGTTCTTCCTAAAGGAATCCTGGATACGTGGAAAAAGGAGTTTAAAATTTGGCAAGTGGAGGATATTCCATTAATTGATTTCTATGAAAATAAAGCAGACAATCGATCACAGCAGCTGGAGGTGTTGAAACAATGGGTGGAGCACAAGAGTATCCTTTTCTTAGGGTACAAGCAATTCTCCTCTATTGTTTGTGATCGAGAAACTAGCAAGGTATCAACTGCGTGCCAAGAAATATTGCTGAAGGCACCTTCAATTCTTATTCTGGATGAAGGGCATACTCCAAGAAATGATAACACTGACGTGTTCCAATCCCTTGCAAAGTTGCAGACACCTAGGAAAGTTGTACTTTCTGGAACCATTTTCCAAAATCATGTCAACGAAGTATTCAACCTTTTGAATCTTGTTCGTCCTAAGTTTTTAAGAGCAGAAACATCCCGACCCATCATCAAGCGGATCATGAGTAGAGTGCATATACCAGGTGTAAGGAAGCAGTTCAAAGCTGGTAGTGAATCAGCCTTCTATGAACTAGTGGAGCATACTCTACAGAAGGATAATGATTTTCGAAGGAAAGTCACTGTCATACACGAATTGCGTGAGATGACTAGCAAGGTGCTTCATTATTACAAAGGAGATACCCTCGATGAACTTCCTGGGCTAGTTGATTTCACTGTGGTACTAAATCTCACCCCCAAGCAGAAGCACGAGACAGAGAAATTAAAGAAGTTTGCAAGAAAGTTCAAGCAAAATGCTGTTGGAAGTGCTGTTTATCTTCACCCAAAACTGTCCAACTTGGCTTGGAAGCCTACTGATCCAGATGACAGAGTGGATGAGCTCTTGGACAAAATAGATGTGAAAGATGGAGTCAAGGCAAGATTCTTTCTTAATATACTGAACTTATGTGAGTCAGCGGGTGAGAAACTTTTAGTTTTCAGTCAGTACCTCCTACCACTGAAATTTTTGGAGAGATTAGTAGTCAAAATGAAGGGGTGGAGTGCTGGGAGAGAAATGTTTGTGATCTCAGGTGAGTCAAGCTCTGAGCAACGGGAATGGTCTATGGATAGATTTAACAATTCCCCCACCGCGAAGGTATTTTTCGGCTCGATTAAGGCTTGTGGGGAGGGTATATCGTTGGTAGGGGCTTCTCGACTAATACTTCTGGATGTACATCTTAACCCCTCAGTGAGCAGGCAGGCCATCGGTCGTGCATTTAGACCAGGTCAGAAGAAGAAAGTTTTCGTGTATAGATTGGTAGCTGCTAATTCACCTGAAGAGGAAGATCATAGCACTTGCTTCCAAAAAGAAACAATTGCAAAAATGTGGTTTGAATGGAATGAATATTGTGGTTACCGGGATTTTGAAGTGGAGACAATTGATGTGAATGAGAGTGATGATCCCTTCCTCGAAAGTCCAGTGTTGAGGGAGGATGTGAAGCTTCTGTACAGAAGGTTTGTACTCTTGTACATCTAATTGTCATTATTGAGTTCCAACACCTAAATGTTTCTGTTGGTATATCCTAACTACTTATTTCTATAATTTCAGGTAGGTACTGCCATCGTCATTGGGCTGACAACTGACGTACAGAGTAGGGAATATTTTCTCACTATACTTTGGTTGACATTCCGTCCTTTGTCTGTTCACATTAGATTTTTGATTTCTGGAAGAATTTCAGGCAGGTTGCTTAGCGTTTATTCGTTAGTTACAGGCAGTTTCTGTTTTCTGCTCTTAGAATCAGACTAGTCCCTCTATGTCCACCGGGCAATGGATTCTGACATGTAAAAGTTGTGAAGAACGGAAATTTTGACAACGCTGTTTGAAGGAGGGTGCTTTTCGTCTTCTAGGATACATGAACTACGATGTTCGGTGTGATTTCTCTTGTTCGAGTCTGGTTTGTACCGCTGCTTCATTTGGGGGCTAAGCATTCTGCTTTTAATTTAACTGATCTTTAAGGAAATAGAGCAATTACAGTTAGTATATATGGTTATGCTAGTTCTGGACATCTTGCTTTGTGTTCAAGAAAACCAGACAAGCTTTATTTATTTTTGGTCGCTCGTACTTATCATCGTTGGGCGTTGCACCAATCAACCGGAAAAATGTTACTTTCGCTCAACAACTTTGTCACTGTCGAACAATGGCTAGGTTCGTGTCACTTAGAATTGCTTGCTCTCTCACCACCAACCTGCAAACCCACGTATCCAATGCGACCATTGCCAGATGACCATAGAGGCTGAAGAACAATGATATTGGATACATGTATTAAATAATGAATTCTTATGTGGGTTGTAAGTAAAGCAAATAAATGTGCGGGAGAGAATTTCCGCTTAATTAGATACTCTTGTAGCACATGGGTTACTTTATCTCTGTGTTCCTAATTGGCTAAAATGATCTACTTTTGATATTTGGTTTTTGAAATGAAATATCGATGACATGTCAATCACATATCAGAAAACATAACGATGATAATAACAACGATACACTCGAACCAAATCATTTCCTAGCAAAATAAAAGGCTAGGCTAGGAGGAACCCACATTTCCTCACCCTTTCCATCTCCAAAAACATTTTTCTTGTTTCCAACTTCCCCATCTCTTTCTCCATCTCCATCTCTCCCTTCCAACTCCCTTATCTCTCTGTTCATCTTCTTTCCCATCTCTCTCACAACAGTTCCTCCTCCATCTATGTGATCTAATCTGAGGTTGGGGGTCTTAGAAGATGGTCTAGTGAATTTTACTATGTTACGTTGCCCTTCAAGAATTCAGGGGTTTAGCCAACCCATGATTAGAAAAGGGAATATAAGCAACAATTTCAGCCACAAGATGCCGAGACAAAAGAAGGGCGGATTCTTGCATGTCACCGGAGATATATTCTCGTGTGAGTACCCTCATTCACGGCGACATATCCCCGGTAACACAAGTCTTTCTTCCCAAGGGAACGAAACCACTCTTCTTGCCCCTGATGAAATTGACTTGGCAACATCGAAATAACAGGCGGACAACTTTCCAGCAAGCTTTATTACGAACTATTCTATTTTCTTCAATACCATCAACAGAGTTTGGCACTGATTGTACATTTTTCCCTTCCAACTTACTAAACAAAGAATATGTATCTCATCTTTACAAATATGCTGACCTTCAATCAATTTCTTCATATATTACAACTGTACTAGTAGTATGTTTCCAATGTCTGGCGGAATGCAACATTCCTTTTCACCATCTGCATCGCAAAGTCGAATGTTCCTCAACAAGCAGTCGAAAGCCTATCGCTGTCTGTTTTTTTTTTTTTTCCTCCCCCGCCCCAAAAATAGTTTGGATATAAGTAATGTGGATATGCAATGAAGCATCTTTCACACTACGAAATCATGTAACAGATGGGAGGAACTAAATCTGTGTTGCTGCTGGTTCCCGGAATCAAGGCATTCAAAATCTGCTGTCTCAGATCCTACAGAAGAAGCTGCAGGGTTGTATAAATCGTCCCCTCTCACAGAGACAAACCCGTGATGAGTCCCACTAGAGATGGGTAGGCTACCGCCACCGTCACAATGCTGCAATCCCAGTGTCAGAGAAACCCCGCTTCCACTTCCAAATCTCCCCAGCTCCGGCATGTGGTATGCAGCAGCAGCTGCCGTAAACCTCTCACTGTTCCTATCAGTCTGAACATTTGCATCAGAAAAGAGACTCGAGTCATCCATACCAGGCCTTTGCCCCTCTCTAAGCTTGACAAGCCCGTACTCAGCTTCAGCTTCATGACGAGTCACATTCTGGAAATTGGCATATCCAGTGGATCCAGCCATTTCCACGTCATGGAAATGGTCAGATTTGGAATCCATAAATTGTCCCGTGCTGAATTTCTCAATGGCTGCCGAACTTGCGCTAGGTTGCATACCTTCTACTCCGTCTTCCATGGTCCTCGTGTTGTCACCTTTTTTTGTTTGAGGTGTATTCTCAGATGAAGAGTTGGAGTCCATCTCAGCATCACCAGCCTCTTCTTTGTACATCTCCTCAACCATGGGCTTCCAAAGGCGCACTCGTGCATTGATAAACCAGTTTGAGACCTGTGCCGCAATAAAAGAGTACACGAACTTTCAGATATCGAGTTAATTCAAATTAAAAATGTAAACATTTGTACTCAGTAATCGATTTTTGTTATGAATTATGCAGCATTCTTGTAGCTGCAAGAACCTGCAGAACGAAACAGTTATTCCTAATTCAGCAGATTTTGCGAGGATCGAAATGTTATACGTATTGAAGTCAAAAAAGATAAAAGATCTTATTCTCTGTTATGTATGTATGTGGTGCCTAAGGAAAAATGCTATGTAAAACATGATTACTTCGACATTACCTGACTTCTAGTCAAGCCTGTCTGCCTTGCTAGCAGGATCTTATCAGAATCCTTCGGATAGCTGGAAAATATCAATATTAACATTAAATTACGTCAAGAACTGATAATCAATAAAGTTTTCGGAGAAGAAATTGAGAAAAGGGTTGAAGTCAGGATTTACGGATGAAGGAAATGCTCAAACAGCCATGCTCGCAGAATTGAGACTGAGCTTTCCGGCAAACCTCTTTGTGGTCTCCATGCATGTTGTTGCATCATGCCAAGCTGCTGAAGGGCTCTCTGCTGCCTGAGATGCTGGTCCACATAACGGAGGCGAGATATTCCAACTCCTTTCATGCTTCCTGAGGTACCTTGCTCCCCAAGGCTTTTACGGGTTGCTCGTATCTGCCCTGTGATTGCATCATGTAAGCACCGAAAGTGACGTGAAATAGTCTGCAGGGCAACAGCTGTGTACGGTTTAGCTGACCCACTTCCCGCTATCGCATCAAATGACGATACAACAATCTGCATCTGATGATAATACTGCTTGTACCTTCTGTCAACCTGTGATTGTGATATAAACACCATTACACCTCATGGGAAAAATAGGAGCTCCATTATATCAGACAAAGGCCTACAAGAAACAACCAACCACAACCACAAATTTCTACAACATCCTCAAAGAAACAATGATCGTAGAAATATTTTCCGTAATCATTAGCTGCTCCAGAAGTAAATTGCATCAATTAACAGAAACGAAAACCAGAAATATAATCATTAGCAACTCAGGGACCATGGAAATTCTGGCCTCAAATAATGGCGTTCTCCTTCTCCACTCGCATCAACAATTAACAATGGTACCTTCGGTCAATTCTACATCTTATATTGTTTCTGGTTCTTAGCAGAACAGGGTCCTTGCGTCAACTGTCAACATAGAAGGATCACCTTGATGTTCCATCAGAGTCCGTAAACATACAGGGTAAGAAAATAAGGAGAACAATAACCCCAATATTTCATTGAGCTCAATTTTACGTCGCATCTCCCTATGTTCTTAGCAGAATGACTAGTTATATGCAAATACCTTCAATCAATGTAGAGTAATTGTTTCATAAAATGCTTATCGACATGTCAACTAAACAGCCAAAACCTATATCTAAAACACCTTTTAATGATAAGCTTGAGATAAATCAATAGCCTAAACTTATTTAGAAATCGCACATGAGGATGCTATGCTTCATTCCATAGCATCTCGTTCAATTTATTAGACACCTAGGAAACCTAAAGAATAGTTGGAATATATTCCGCTTGGAGATATTCCGTTGGGAGAAAAATTGAGAGCCCCAACTATTTCACATGTCAAACACAATGCAAGGCTCCAGGTGCTTCAACTGGAAAGATGGAGGATCAATCAATTGCCAGTGTAAACATCCCTTAAACATGAAAGGATATACTCAAAACTTTTGGAAATTCTTGAAACTTTTTCTTCATTAAAATGTCTGAATCGAAGAACAAAACTGTAATGGAATCATTACCAGATGTTGGTTTATCTATCAATGCATCATTGTATGACTACATCATTAATTGATCAGTTTCAGTTGGAACAATCAACAATTGACATAAGCTCAAAAACGAAACCATTATGCATTTTGTTTGGTTTTGCTTTCCTATTTTTAAAAATTAAAGAAACATATCACTGATCATTTCCGTCATTATTGTGAAACCAGTAACTAAGAGCCTAAGAGAACAGAACAATATCATCAACATAAAAGCATACTGATCAGGCGATCACCGACAATAAACATGCTACATAATATCACCTGCCTAAACATGCAACACATCACACACATAAGAAGTAATAAAGACAGGTGATGTAGTTATCTAAACAGCAATCAAAGCAATCATCACAGAGTATAAAGAGCGAAGACAAAAGGATAATGCCAATCAAATTTGCAACTAAAATTGATTTAAGGTCTTAACATTATGACAAACTGACCAGACAAGCTAGATTGATCATATAATTAACTCATAAAGAGACATTAAACTATAAGCATTGCTCATACCTCATCTAGCATAGACAGAAGCTTCGTCAACTTGCTTTGCAACTCTTGTTTCTCGGCATGTGAAAGCTCACACGGTGGGTTACTGGCCGGCTCTTGAGGGTTTGTGGATACTCCACTCTCAAGATCATTCTTTGATCCATCATCTCCTTCCTTGAAACTCTTCTGATGATTGTGTGTGCTTTGGTTCTTCTCTCTATCATGCTGCTTCAGTGCTTTCTGGACATTGACGACTTCATCAAGCAGTTGTTGTGCTGCTTTGAGGTATTTGTTATGGGGAATGGTTCTTGCCATACTCGACATCCCATATGGAGACAAATCCCCTTTACTTGAATCTGGATTGCCTCCCGGAAAACCAGATTGCAAATATTCAACATTTCTTGGCTGCTCATCTCTAAAAGAACCATTCCTACCGTCACCCTCACTTGAAACGGATGCATTAGGACTTAAGAATGAAGCAAAACCCATATTGTTATTCCGGTACGAGATAGAAGGCATTTGCATTCCTGATGGGATTTGTGTACTGAGGCTGAGGGACAACCCCTGACCTTGCAAGTTGTGTCCACCATGAAGAATACCTGAAGAACCACCCATGGGGTGCGTAACTAGCATCTCATTTCTACCCTCCCTCCATGGACTGAATCCCTGCTCTCCAACATGCGTGCCACCAAGATGCGATAGGACATCATGCTGCTGCTGGTTGGAATCTGAACCCCCGACCGCGGAGCCTAAGTTGTTTTGCTGCTGAGAACTCCCAGCCAATGCGTCCGAGTATGACCCAGAGTTCATATACATCATCATGTTACCAGAGACGAGAGGTGCTTCTGGATAAGAACTAGGCAAAGGTTCCCTTAAATATAGCATTGGCGTCGCATCTTTTTGACTATTCGAACCAGTATAGTAACTTGACATAGCTCTCTCAACCCCTTAACAGCTATATGAGCCCAATTACATACTCATCCCGAAGACTGAAAAAATGAGTAGAACTTCCATCATTGGCAAAACCGTACCATACTCGAAAAACTAGCAAGTTTGCAGGAATTTAATTGTCACTGTATTATTTATTACTCACTCACACCAGTATAAGCCAATGCATTAAAGCAAAGTGCTCGAGTCTCAAATGACATATACAGAAAAATTTACTAGTTGAGATTCCACTTCCAGGCAATCCTGACAGAAGAAAATCAATACACCAAAGCAAAATTTACTACCAAGTACAAACACACAGAAGCTTATAATTAATGCCCAACAAACAGCTCATTTAATCATCCAAAAAGCAATCTTCGTATGCAAGAACTTAACATTTACGTATATGATGCTGACATATGAACTTTTTAGGTTTCTGGCAATCAAAGGATTTATACAACTTTTTCAGTTTGAAAGCTTCCAATTACATCATGATTATTAATTACATAGAACTCTTAAAAAAAAGGAATCTCTCTCTCTCTCTCTCTCTCTCTCTCTCTCTACACACACACACACACATATAGTAGATACATGCAAACAGAATTCAAAAATCAACCCAACAGAAGGAAAATTAAACATATAAATATAAATTAAGAACAATATATTTAGATAAATTGATGATAACAACAATAATAATAAATCTGCTAACTCTGTGTATTTTCAAAAAAAGAAATTACTGGATCATCATCTTAACAAACAGAAAGAGAAAGAGAACAACAGAACCGAAGAAAAGGAGAAATTCATGAGTGAGACAGACAGAGAGCAGCTAAAAGATGATTAAAGCCAGGAAAAAAAAAATATATATATATAATGGAAGAATAAAAAAATACCTGGAAACCCTCAAGAGTTGTGGGTTGTGTGGGGAACAGAAAAGTCTAGAGAACATCAGCCGATCGTCTCAGAGCCAAACTTTCCGATCCCAACAACAACAAGTATATTATTTATTTAACAAAAAAAAAAAAGATATTTAGTGTGTTGGAAGATAATTGAGAGCTTTAAATTTCTGCTTTTTTGCAATCATAGATATTCTCCATCCATCACTGAGTCAAATTCAAACCCCACGTGAGACTCGCACGCACACATACACACACCCACAGAGAGAGATAAGTTTTTCAGTATCTACTGAGCCACTCAAGAAAAATGATGACTTTTCTCTCTTTTTCCATAAATGGGGTTATCTTTTTTTTTCTTGGGGGTGGTGTTTAGGCTTTGGTGGGCAACACTGCTTTTCTAATAAGTGCTTTTGCTTGAAACCCAGTTGGGAAAAGTGTTGCCTTGACTACTTGCTGCTTCTGCTTCTGTTTCTGCTTCAATTCAACACTTGAACTCAATGGCTAATTGCTTCTGCTTAACTGGTTTGGATGGTGAAGATCAAGTGTTTGGTTAAGGAGCTCAATCTCTAACCACCAGTTGGTGGACCTAAAACCCTCTCTTAAACCCTCTCCCCATCTCCTCCTCTCCCACCATCTAATATCTCTCTCTCTCTCTCTCTCTCTCTCTAAAAAAAGTTTATGATAATTCTATCTAACTTCAACCTGTATTGGCTGTCTCTCTCATCCCTTTGAGCATGGAAGGTCTGGGTTTGCTGCAATATCCACCATATAATCATATTCTTTTCTTTTCCTCTTTATTTTTTATTTCTATATTTTGTCCTTACCTTTTATTCTAATCTCTTTTAACAAAATATTATATATTTTTTCTTTTTGAATTTATGGAGTGCACCAGTAAGCATTAGGGGATGTGGATTGTCTGATCTTCCAGTTTTCATACATATTTATTTTCTTCTATTTGTATGATCACGATTAAGTCATGTTAATATTTTATATCATTATTATTTTTTATCTTATTATCTTTATAAAAAAATTAATATAAAATGTTAACGTGACTTAACCATAACCACTCAAAATAAAAGCGGATGAGAGTCTGTGAACTGGGTGGGCACAGAAGCCGGTCCAACATTAGGTGCCAATATCTCTGTATTTGACGTTTTGTGCCAACTAATGTGTGATTTTTGCACTGGTGGTCCTGCCATCTTTATGTATTTATAGTTGTTTCCCATATTGTTGAGCTATTGCACACTTGTCACTTCCCTTGCACATTTGTCACCGCCCTCCACATGTTCTTTTGCATAATGTGGTAATTTTTGTTCAATTGATGGGGATAAAATTTAATTTTTTCAAAGATCTCTGGACCTCTATATATATATATATATATATATATATGTATGTATATAAATATCAAAGGACAAATGTCAGATTTATTGATCAAATTTGCATAAAATGTTTTCAGACAAAAATTAAATTGGTATGAAACTCATCATTTACGAAATTAAACTTTTCGCTTAAAAACAATAAGAAATATTATTAAATTATAGTACTGAATGATAAAAATCTATTATTTTTTTAATATTGATGATTATTAATTTTTTAAATGTGTAACGATAAATCTAATCAATTATTGGGTGGAAAGGATTTTAAGTTAAATACTCTCACATTTACAATACGAGTAAGATTGTCGTCTTTCCTTCTAATTAAAAAAGAAACTAAATCTAATTATTTAGACAAAAATTACCACATTTTTATTGTAGCTACTAGAGAGAAAAATAGGGTCGGGCCTTAGAGTCGGTGGCAATTCTTCTTAATCTCTTTCCTCTCTCCCCTTCAAATCCTATCTTCTAACTATCTTCCTCTCTTGGTTGTAGTCACCCTTTCGTTCTTATGACATTAGTCTTTATTGTTTGGACTCTCTCTAGCTTTGTCGAGGAGAGACTTTGTAGCAGGTACGGATTACTATTCAAACTCGAATCTTTGACCAGCGGGTGGTGGTTTTGCACACATGGCAAAGGATTATAACAAGGAAGTTAGAAATTTTTTTGAAGTTTACTCTTAGTAGTGCTAACTTCATCGGCGATTACAAGATCATCTGAGAGTGATGCATTCTTTCCTCATGGTGCCTTTATTGTAATTCTAATGAGTTTGTAATTGCAAAGATTTAGCATTTCTTTTAACTGGTGTGTTTGACCTACTTGTTGGATGTGACATATTTGTTCCTATATACGTTCTTGATTGTTTTTAATAAAATGTCATTTGATCTAAAAATTTATTATAAAAAACATAAAGGATAAATATATTGAATGTCAAGATAATAAGTAAAAGTAATTTGCATGTTGCAAAAGCATATGCTTCATTTTTACCCAAAAAGTGAAAAATTAGGGCACATGAACATTTGATATGATAATGTATGTAGACATATGTAAGATGGCACTTGCCAAACCCACTAATATATGTCACACCACACCTTTAGCTTTCTTTTTGGATCTTTTAGATGGTAACAATGAAAAAGGCATCTCTTTTATGTTTTATTAGGAGGAGAGAGTGAAGTGAGTGGACATTTGAGATCATTAGAATGAAAAGTACAAACTTTTGAAAACTAAGTGGGACTATTTACTTAAATGTCATCAAAGAAAATGATTCCGATAAATAAAGATGAACTTCTGGTTTTTTTTTTTTTTTTTTTTTTTTTTGCCAATAATTTACTTATGTCACCAAAGAAAATAATTCGAATAAATAAAGTTACTTAATACTACGGTCTAGTGGTATTTCTCTTCACTTATGAATGAGAGATTTTATATTCGATTTTCTCCAAATACGAATTTGAATCACGTTATTGATAACCCATTGTGAGGCTTACCCCACTCCCCACCTCCTTACAGCATTTACAACCCTAAAAAGCCCATCGGGCAATAGGCAATTCAATCCTCCCAAGTGAATAATAACTGTCTTTAGTGAATAATAACTGCCCCAGTGCATCTCCATCGCTCAACTGAATAGCTCAGCCAATTCGTATTAAAATATTTTTATATTTTATTATTTATTTTTAATTTTGGATGATAATAAAAGATTGGTAGAAAGTATTTGAAAATATTGAAATCTGGTGTAAGAGTGTAAGGTGGAAGAACATGGTTATGTATTTATAGAAAAACAATTATTATTTTTTATATTTTTTGTAATTTTTAATTAATTTTTTAATTATAGCTTATGTCAGCCTTACGTCACATAACCTAGGGGCTAGGCTAGTCGGTTTTAGCCTGGGTGAGCAACTAGGCTCCCCTAGAGCCCAATGGATTGGAATGGGGTGGATGAGTTTTGGGGGGAGGGAGGGGATTTAATTCACTATCCCTTAGGAGATTTAAGAGGGGTGAAAGTGCTCTTAGTATAAATAATACCATTTGCTTAAAAAAGGAAAAAAAAATTTAACTATTGGAGAAAAAATAATTATTCTAGTGCTCAGTATAATTGAAGTGCAATTGAAGTGCTTCTTTTAATGATACTTCGTACTTTAGAGTCATAGGTAGATTACGAGTTCTATTCTCTGAATTTTTAGCGCTATTATTTACCATTTCTTTAGAGAAGTGATACGTAAATTAGTTTGTTTTTCTTTATTTGTGAATGATGCCTTCAAGTGGCTTCATAGTTAAGTTTTCAGTCTTATGGTGCTATTTTCAACCATATCTTTGAACCAATTTTGATGGCCCATTAGCAAATTTTGCCTTATTTGCTAATTAAAATAATAATAATAATAATAATATCAGTAAAAAAGAAATTTCTTATAGACTTTCAACATCAACAATGTATAAAACAAATGTGAGAGGTCTCGGGTTCAATGTTCCAAGCTGATGAGTTTGCTTAACTATGGCCATGGGCAGGGTAAAACTACCCATAGCCTCTTCAGGCCCGAAAAATGATGGATAACCGTGGCTTGCCACCAGTTGTCCATCTTTTAGAAGGAAAAACAATCAACCAAAAAAATGGTATTAGATGGGAATTCATATGCTTTCAATGTTAAGTATACCTATTTTGAAGGACCTCTAAGGTTGTTTCTTTGTATTTGATAATCTGTAAAACTTGGTGCAAAACTTTTGGCCGAACTAGCTCAAAGGCAACACCTGCAGCCCCAGAATCCTTAAACTGAAACACAATATGAAAATAGAAAGAGACCGTTGTCGATATATATAATATATATGAAAGATAATGTTGTCAACTAGTAGATACAGAGGTCCTGTTTGTTATAAAGAATTATACATGTGTTAATCGAACATGTCTAAAGACTCACAGAAACATTTCAAGCTCTCTCTAGCTACCATCATGTGATTCACCAGTTCCAGGAATTGAATCCAATACGATCCATATGAAATACGAGCCTGTAATTCATCCTTACCACTGAGTCAATGATTTATGAATGATATTGTCAATAAACTTGCTTTGAATGGTAGTAAACTTGTACTCAGTTTTCAACTTTTCATATACATAGATTACCAGACGCAAAGGTAACAATCAAAATCCAACATACATGTTACCTAAAACCATGGTACATTAGCCACTTAATATTACAGTCTAGTGATATATCTCTTTACTTGTAAGTGAGAGGTCTTAGGTTCGATTATCGCGAAAGGCGAATTTAAACCACATTATTGCTAGCTCATTGTGAAGCTAAGCCCACCCCCTCCTTTTTAGTTTAGATAATATCGTTTGTTAAAAAAAAAATAAAAAAATTAAAACCATGGTACATGAAATAGATGCAACCATTAATTACAAGATTTTGAAATTAATTTTTTTTTTATTTTTTTTTAACAAAACAGAAAATTTGCTTAGTTTGATTGAAATTCAGCTAACCTAAATTTATAAGTAAATATTCAAGATTAAACCTAATGATTGACTATAAAAAAATTGGTCTTAAATATGATTAAGCCTTTTTAATTATTTGTCACTCATATGCACATTAAGAATAATAAAGAAATCAATTAATTCTAACCCGTGAAACCCGCGTAATAATGATTTTGGTGGGTTGGTTTGCCCATTTTCTTGACTGGCAATGGGTTACAACAATGTAAACCTAAGCCTATTGAGTTAGCCAACAATTTGGAGTCTAACCCAACCAACAAGCCGATGCCCGCCCTTAGGCTCAAGAGTTTTTTTTTTTTTTTTTTTTAATAAACGATATTCTTTACACTAGGGAGAAGGGATGGGTTTAACCTCATAATGGGCTAGCAATAATGTGGTTCAAATTCGCTTGTGGCGAGAATCGAAGCTAAAATCTTTCGCTTACAAGTAAAAAAGAATACTACTAAACCATAATACTAAGTGGCCCATTAGGTTCTTTTTATTTCGTTGTTTTTGTTGAGAAAACAAGCATTACAAAATACATGATGCCCTACGCAGCACAAGAGTGTTTAATCACCACTCACCAGAGGCTTTGGTTATCAAGGAAAAGCCTTTGAAAATGGTTCCATTATTTATTCTGCATGCCTATCATGGTTTAGGGTTTAAACTTAAGGCTTATTTGTCTATAGACATGTTGTGAACACCACATTAGCTTGTGTTTTAATCAAAGGAGGGTGGAGTTAAATACGACTTATGAGAAAGCGTTATAGAATGTTAGGAACAATTATTCACATGTATATGAGTGATTGTCGGCTGTTGATGCATGTGAATCTTACAATACATTAATGATTGACAA